GGATCGGACGGGGGAGGGGGCGGGTACAGCTGGCTCTGCCTCTAGATAGGCAGAGCCAGCTGTCACTCACGCAGCTGGGCGGATCTCGACATCGATGTCAGGATTCGCTCCGGCTGCTGCGTCTCAGTATACGGCGAGCTGTAGCTCGCCGTATACTGAGCTTAGGGTAACGGAAGGACGCTAGTTTGTGTTCTCCCGTTACCCTAAGGAGAACTATGGGGAAAAGCCCTGACCCCATAGTTCTCCTTTAATCCTAATAAGGTACCATTGAAAAGCTATAAACACTCCTTAACCAACCACATGTTATCTGTAGCCCGCTCCTGCATTCCATTTCTTTTGGAAACAGACCTCCCTTCCCTCCATGTCTCTGTAGCTGGGGCGGATTGTTGAACTTTGGCATCTGGAAGAACTGACAGCTACCGTGAATAACAGGGAGGAGTTTCAAAATACCTGGAACACCTGGGCATTTTCATTTCGCTGATGAGTATTCCAGTTTGCTGTCCCCCTCTGACTCTGAAACTCCAGAGGTGTAGGGCTACCCTTTTGATTGTTGCCTCCTTTGTTTCTCTTCTTGGGTAAGACCGCCTGGTTTTTGTTGTTCTTTGGTTTTCAGTTACCTCCTGATGTAATGGTCTGGTGATGGATATGGTAATTTGTAGGGATGCACCGATATATCGTCGCCGAAACATATCGGCCGAAAATGGCACTTTTGGCATAATGCCGAAAGAGCCATGTTTCGGCCGATACATCGGCGCATCCCTGGTTTCTTTTCTCCCCGCTGGCCGCTGTTCCAGCGGGGAGAAAAGAAAGTGACAGCCGGCCGAGCGCTGCAGGACGAGAGCGCTGTGAGCGTATCTCCTCACACACCGCTCAGCCGCCTATCACAGTCCGGCAGGGCGGAGACAGTGCTGTCACAGGAGGCTGGGCTTTCCTCTCTACACCGCTCGATCAGCCTCCTGTGACAGCGTGTCAGAGAGAAAAGCAAGGTACACACACTCGGTGATCAGTGATCGGTGAGTGTGTGTACATAATTGAGGATATGGTATGTTAACTATATCCTCAATTATGAATGAATGGGAGTGATCCCATTTCGGTGCACCTCTAGTAATTTGTGTTGTTTCCACCCCTCCTTCTTCCACTTCAAGACCCCCCCCCCCCCCTCCCGTTTTTTTTTT